CAGGATATTTAGATGAGAGAAATAGAAAACTCAAGGATGTTCCTGCCCAAGTAAGACACTGTACGTCAAGAGATATCACGTTAGGATTATCACGAGATGAGAAATATGATCATTGGACTGAAGAATCTCCAGACGGTGTAACAACCACAACCAGAACAGCACGACAAGTGATCCAGATGTCATCATCAACTACTGTTGCACCTCGTGAAGATGTTGCTGGTGAAACAGAAATTATAACTGTCGATCAAATAGACAGTGAATTTGTTGGTGAGAAACTAATTGAAAAACCTCTCCCTAAAGGACAAAAGATTCCACCTAAGGTTGCTGAAAAGCCAAAAGGAAGAGGCAAGCGAATTGATTCGCTTGATAAACCAATAAAAACGGAATCGCCCTCTAAGTTGAGAAGAACAGAGTCTCCAGAAAAGAAGAAATCTGAGTCTCCAGGTAGGAAGAAAACTGAGTCTCCTGAAAAGAAGAAACCTGAGTCTCCAAAATCAAGAGTAAGCAAACTTACTATAAAACCAGAATCACCTACAAAAGGCAAGAAAGCTGAGTCTACAGAGAAGAAACCTTCATCACCAATTACAACAAGACAAGAAGCAAAAGTTGTACTACAATCTCCAAAATCAAAGTACACATCTGAACTTCCACAATCTCCTGGTAAAGTTACAATACCCAGTGATAAAAAACCGGATTCTCCAACTAAAAAGAAAAAACAACCACCTAAAGCTGCTCCAAAGCCGACTAAGAAAGTTAAAGAACCTGAAGTGATACTTGATGAAAGTCCAGCTGTGAAACAAACTGAGATCACTTCACCACTAAAGGAATCTTTAACTGGAGATGTCTCACAATTAGAGGTGACAGATCTTCATACAGATGGCAAACAACCAGAACAGATTTCACAGACCCCTGATAGCGGCGTTGATCCAGCATCTCCCAAATCACCAGAAGTGCCTATTAGACGTCCTCTTAGTCCAGGAGAGAAAGAATTTACAATCACAACTCGGAGTACAAAACAAAGTCCAGATGATAAATCACTCACTGAAATTCAGGAAATTAAAACAGTGGAGTATGAAGAACCTATTGATAAACCTGCAACACCAACATATGTTAGTCCTGAGTTTGAACATAAGGTGTTAGATTCTAGAACTGACACTCTGACAACCACTCGGGTTTGGTGAAGAGGTTACTGTGACAACAGTAGAGAGTAGAATAGTTTTTGGTCAACAAGTGGATATAAGTCCAACTGATACAAGAACTTCTGATCATTCTCAACCATCATCCACTGATACTGGTGACACTGTTATTTACAGACCACAGCAGCCCTATGAAGAAACTATCACAACTGAAATTGTTGAAAGGTCAAGTCTTGATGATGCAGGATCTAGACCTCTTTCCCTTATGTTGGAGGATTTTGATAGTACTGATGAGCCACACAGAACACCTGATGATATGAAGAAAATCACACATGAAGACAAATTTTTAAGAAATTTACAAAGACACCATCATATGATGAGTCAGTGAGTACCCCAGGATCAACTGTTGCAAGAATGGGATCACCTGTTGAAGGGTCAACTCTCATGGAAACATTTGACTCGCCTACTGAGTCTGGTATATTCTCCCCCAGTGAAACTCCAGTTGGTCCATCTGACATCCATCTTCAAATTGATACCTTGATGATTTTAGACCCTCACACAGGAGATAAACTTTATCCTGTTGAAGCTTTGCAGAGGGATGTTATTGATGTTAGTACGGCTGCTGATATGCTTGATAAAGAACTAAAGTCAGGGGGTATAGTTGATCCACAGTCACGAAATAAGTTTTCTTATTCATGATGCCGTTGAGAGGGGTTTAATTGATGATGACACTGCTAAAATTGTGCTGCAGATGCAAATTGATGCTGGTGGAATCATTGACCCTTCAACTAGGGAGAGATTGCCTGTCAGTGCTGCCAAGAAGAGAGGCCTGTTAGATGATGAGCTTGCTGTTAAGTTGCTGCAAGATCAATTGAAATCTGGGGGT